GGTCATTCTCCACCACCTTCGGAGGTGTTTCCCATTTTGACCTTGGGGTTTCCAGTCCATACTCCGCACAGATGTTTCAGTAGACTATGCCAGCCACCTGGTTATGGCGTTCTATGTAGGCTTTCCCTGCCAGCAGCATCTTACACCCTGCAGTTATGTGTTGGATCGTCTCAGGTGCCTCTTTGCAAGCAAGTTTTTTTTTTTTTTTGGACGTGAGACATTTTTTGGAGGTACACATGGCTCAGTTTAGTAGAGTTGCCAAATATATTAAATAGTCCTGCAAGTGTATTGGCCTATGTCTGCGTATTATTTAAGACAGATCTTATTTTGCTCATCCATTTTCCGATCCGCTTATCCTCAAAAGGGCTGCGGGACATGTTTGGAGTTTATCCAAGCTGTCTTCCGGCAGTAGGCGGGGGACACCCTGAACTGGTTCCCAGCCAATCGCAGGGCACACAGACACACAACAATTTGCGCTCACGCTCACACCCAGGGACAATTTCAAGTGTTCCATTAACCTGCCACGCATGTTTTTGAAATGTGGGAGGAAACCCTCGCAGGCACGGGCAGAACACGCAAACTCCACACAGGAAGGCTGGAGCTGGAATCAAACCCTGCACCTCTGCGCTGTGAGGCCAGCGTGCCAACCAGTCGATCACTGTGCCGCCTATTTTGCTCATGTGCCCTACATAGATCGATCAATCGATAAATAAAAATAAGTACTTAAAAAGAGCATAAAGTGGGATATGATGTAATTAGACTTGTAAATCAAGTGACAATCACACCCAAAACTCCTTACACGTTCCTATAGTCAAGATAGCAGCAACATTCCTGTTCATGTTTATAAATACTGGAGTTGGGAGTCATTTTATCCAAGTCAGTAAGTTCGAGACAGATAAACCACAAATCACAACTGTGTTGCAAAAAACACTTTGATCCAAACTTGCAAGAGCGCAACATTAAAAAAAACTTGTAAGCGTAGACCAATTAATTTGTATAATCATACTTGAAAAGTGCTGCTTTTTCATATGGCTGTTCGTGCCAGGGGCGAACAGCCATTTGAAACGGACTCATTTATTCCAAATCCACTTGAGAACACGTCTGATGCCCTGTGTATTTTCAAACATAAATTAAAACACATATCCAAGACAATATAGTTTATTCTATTTTACAGAACATGGTAACACAAACATCCCGAATGACTTGAAAAGGATCGCTGATAGCCCGAGGGAATAGCTCTTCTATAATCAGTTTTTGTTATTCATATTTGCTGTGCAATAAAAGCCTTGGATAACAAAATGAAATGACCCAAGTAAACATAGTAAGAGTGTGCACTGCACTGATACAAAGGTCCCTCTTAACCTAAACATGGCTATCGAATCCAAGGCAGAGATATCCTGGAGGCCAATGGTTGGCATATAAGACTAAAATGTTCACAGGTAAAATGATGTTTTCCATCATTAGTTCCATTTGAAAACAATGCTGATCATTTGGAAAAATGTGTTGGGGAGGGGGGGGGGGGGGGGTACTAAAATGGCCAAATGGCCAAAAATATTTGAACCTTTAATCATGCGGATCATTGCGTCATAAAGACATTGAGCTCAACTGAAAGACACCAACAGAGGGAAAACAATTTGGCATTCTCATGTGATTTAACCATAAGCTACAAAATACCTACAGACCTATGGAAGACGCAGGACAAGATATTAGCTGGAGCTCAATTATTGAGGGTTGCAACTGGGGTGGGATGTGTGTGTGTGTGTGTGTGTGTGTGTGTGTGTGTGTGTGTGTGTGTGTGTGTGTGTGTGTGTGTGTAAATTAAAGGGCCGACACTCACGTTCGGACATTGCAATGATCCACGTCATGTCTTATCTGGTCATGATGTGAATATCATTTCAAATATCTATATGCATTTTATTTATTCATCATCTTAGTCGAATATAATTATGCGGCAAACAGGAAGAGCATCAACATTTGCAGTGTGTTATGAAGTGTACAGAACTTCGTCTTGGGAAGAACTCTGAAGTTTCTTGACAAATATTGGAAATGTTCGAGAGCCGATCATGAACTGCGCTACTTTTACCAATACCGACTCACTATAAACTTGTCCTGTAATACCCAAATCTAATGACTGCAAAGTATCAAGTGCCCTCCATTTCCCTCAGCGAAGTTGAAAATAAAAACGTACATAGGAAGGACATCATCAAATGACAGCCTGCTATTTATTTTACCAATTTCAATTGATGTTTTTAAAAGTCATTTTCATATTTTTTTTTTTAAAAGTACAAGGGAATGTTTAATCTCATAACGTACTACATATCTGCACAGCCTCTTCCAGTCCAAACATGAATTCAAACAGCTGGTTAGCTACAAAAGCAGCCCAATTCCACAGCTACATTGTAAATCTGCCAGTGTTTGACTCCTGAATAGTGTTGAGTTCTCTTGCTGCAGCATAGTCACTTTCTGGAGAGCAACGCCATCACTTTTTTTTCCCCCTCAAAAAACAAAACAAAACAAAAAAACATGGGATATGAAATATTTCATTCAACATTTTTTTGTTTCTTGAAGCAAAAAAAGAAACAACAACAACAAAAAAAAAAGTCCTCTCTTCTCGGCCTGTCGAACGAAGTCATGGCTGGATGCTACCCTGGCTGTCAGGGTCCGTTTCAGAGGAGCTGGTTTCAGAGTTAGAGTCGTCATCATTGGGATCACTCATCACACGTTTCTCTCGTATTCGTCGATGGATGGCGCTGAGTCGAGTCTGCAAGCGCTGATAGTCAAAACGACCACGCTTTTCTCCAAATGGGTCCTGTAAAGGGATTGTAGTGGACAGTCAATCTGGATTTTTCAGTCAGCCAGGAAATTCTTTAGTTGTAACTAAACTAATTCAAACTGTAGTGTATATATTTTTTTAGTGCCTGTATCCAACCACAAGAGTGCACCGATCGTGTGTGAGCCTCTCTGCCAAATTGAGGCATATTATATTACCGAAAGACGAATTAAGTCTCCATGGAAAACGTGTTGTGCAATTCATCTTAATTCTCACGGCTGCTAGCTGTTTTTTTATGAATACCCCAGCCGTGAAGAATGCTTTGGTTATGTCAGCCGGCTTTCGATGTCTTTGGTTCAGCCCAAGGCCGTAGCTTGGGGCCCACGGCCAACAGTTACCATGGTGCTAGTTTTGGTTGCAGTAATGTTTTGTGTTGAAAGAGAAAAAAAACAAAAAAAAAAACAACAAAAAAAAAAACCAAACAAACATGGTTGTCTCATCCCCGTTTGCTCCAGAGAAGAGCGGTTTGGGCTGTCAAGAGCTTGAGGTAATTAATGGTCACTTTACTTTTAATACTGCTAGCAAGTCAGCAATGTTAACATTATGTCCTTAGTTAGCTAGGTAGCTAGCTCATAAATGTTTGTAAACAAACATGAGGACCATATTTCTTCAGTTTTTGGGCTAAAATTTTGGCAAACATTGTTTTTTTGTTGATTCTATTTCATTTTGGTCAATCGGCTTTATTTTTTTCATCTATATTTTAGTATTCATTTAGTGTCTACATAAGATCAGTGCTTAAAAAGGACAGTCCACATTTTTACAGATCATTGCTTCATGAATTGTTTGCATCATTGTTGTGATGTGATTGTACTGACTTATGTTGACACAACACTTGTTTGGTAGAATTTTGTGAAGTTGTAAACCTTGAAAAGTCCAAGTGTTTAATGTGTTAAATAAATTAATTGAAGTAGACAAATTAACAGTCTTTCACATTAATTTATGGTTCATCAGAACCTGAATCATCTTTATTGGCCAAGTTTGTAAAGAAACACATAAGAAATTTGTCTCCGGTAGTTTGAGCCACTTTAGTATTAAAGCACACAAACAACTACACAAAATGAATATTTTGTGTGTCCCAATGATCCTATGAGCTAAGTTTCTGGGGGCTTTATGCACCAGGAAGTGTCACCCATGGCAAATAGATCCTAGGTGAGGGACCAGACAAAGCACAGCTCACAGACCCCTTGTGATAAAAAACACATATGGATCCAGTGTTACCTTGCCCAGACACGGGTCATTGGGGAGCGCCCCTCTGGAGCCAGGCCTGGAAGTGGGGCTGGCTGTAAATACACCAGTGGGACCCGGCGGGGCTCAGCCCGAAGCGGCAACTGTTCGGTGCTTTCTACCGTCTTTGTTACTGATTTGTTGCTTTACTGTTGTATATGTTAGTTGCTCCACGTGCAGCACTTTGTGTGCAGCGATGACTGTTTGAAAGTGCTCTATAAATACAGTTGAGTTGAGTAGTCACCTTCATGTTTTGTCCCTGTAGATGCAGCCTCGCTTTACATACTCCCTCATAGAATTCAAAGAATTCAAGGAAGGACTTCTCCATTACGCTCCTGAAAATGCACACACAAATTAAATGATCTGCACGGGTCAGAGGAGAAGGTGAGGAAACGATAGGAAAGAGGCATTTAAGAGATGGAAAAGTAAATAGTCTTGCCACAAAGCTTCAGGACAGTTAACTTTGCCCTCCAGCATGTCACACACAGCTACCCTCATTGTTTCATGGCGGATACACTCGTTATAGTTCTTGCTGTCCCCTGGATGTCGCTCCTGAAAGTCACACAGAGACGTCAAATTAAAATAAGGAACTTCAGGAACCCAGATCAAGAGCCAATCAAAACACCAGAAAATAAATGGCTTGCAGAAGAAGATTTTTGAGGAAAAAAAAGCACCAGAACGTCATCATTTTTGTAACCTGTAAAAATACCAAATACTACCTTTCAGATCTTATTGCGTTGTATATCTTTATGCAAATACCATTAAATAAAAGCGATATTCTGAACTTTTCTCATACTCATTTTTTGGTCTGAAACCTAAATGTCTTTCAATATACAATTTTAAAAAATTTTTTTAAAAAATAAGGAATTGACTATGCCTCTCCCAATACCTTTTGGAGGGGAATGTACATATCACAAATGGCTCAATAATTTAACATGGCATTTTCTGTACCATACTCTCAGCAGCTAGCCATCTGATCAGCTAATATCCACTAACATTGTGCCATAAAAGAACATAGCATTTGTGCGGCATTCGAGCTGTTGCAGAAAGGGCACAAAAATATGCCAATAGACGGCGTGTTTCCATTTTTTAAGTGCTTTTGAAGAAAATTTCACCAATATGTCAGTTTGCAAATGGCGATTCAGGAATCTGTGAGGAAAAAAAACAGCAGCAGAGTTTTTCACAAAAGATAGGGGTGTACCTGTTCAAATCCAGGTTCATTGTGATAAGGTTTCTCCGTCATCAGAGACTGAATTGAAAGGAGGACAGAGGAGATGCTCTGCGCCGGACTCCATGCTGGTCCTGTCCATGTTCTGTAAAATAATGCACATGGATGTAAAGAGTAAGAGAGTGTCTTTATTGTCGTTTTTACATGCACAACGTAATTGGAGGGGCATTCTCTGAAGATTCCATAATACAGTACATTGATCCCTCATTTATCGCGGTTAATGGGGACCAGGACCCTGCCGCCATAAGTGAAAAACTGCGAAGGCGGGTTTGCTCCCCCCTAGGAATTTTTGTGAAAGTGTATGTGGGTACCAGCATGTTTAAAATATGTAAACAGTATTTATACTTGACATATTTGAGACAAAGACTACAGCAGTACATGTATTTACTTAAAGCTTTAATTATAAAATATTATAAAGTAATTAACATTCATCAGCACTGCCTTCTGAGAGGCGAAGAGACTAGTGTTAGTGGCGTAGAAGGCTCTCACTTTACGCTTTGACGGTGTAGCTGCCATTAGCCTCTGGCTAGCTTCTGGCCAGCTATCCCCATGAAGCCGACGTGTTTATAAGACAATTAATGGGTATTGATGAGGAGGCAAAGAGAGGTGCTGCTACTGCTACAAGCCCAATCACCCCCGCCCCCCCATATGTCTTCTCCCCTGCACGAGAATCAACAGACACAAGGCTTCCCTAGTGTCTCGTGACGCTGGGCGCAGCTGCGAAGATGCGCAGCCAATCAGCTCGTGTTATCATTGGTCGACATTGCGCCGGGAACCAATCATGCGCCTTGAATGAGTGCCTGTTGCCTATACAGTACAGGCATGTACAAAATCTCTGAGTCGTTCGGCATTTTTTTCTGAATACAGTACTTGGGGGGGGGGGGGGGGCCCGTGGGGGGGGGGGGGGGAAAGCGCAATATAGCGGGGGATCACTGTATATCACTTATAATTAAAGCTAAAAGAAGTTCTCAATTGGAATACCTTGGATAAAAAAAAAAACGCTTGAGGCATTTTTTTTCTTCCTCGAGTAACGGCTTATTTTCATGTACATTGCCAGAAAGCACTAAAGTCAACCGCAGCCACTATTGTTAATGCTAAACGGCGCCAATGTGGGAAAAACAAAACAAAACAAAATAAACCATACCTCACCAAATAATTTATGAACATCAACGCCTTGGTAGACTTTCATTTTAAAGTTGTACTTGGCAGCGTGTTGCAGCATAACATGCACATACGCGCGCACGCACACGCACACACACACACACACACACAATAATGCACTCTACACGCGCGCACGCGTGCGTATGTGTGTGTGCAGTTGTGCAGGGTTTACCCCAGAAAACTTGCAAAGCCTGTTGATGGAGAAGCCGACCGGCTTCAGAATAGACATTTTATTTTAGTCAGTAGAATGTATTTACTGTGTCATGAAAAAGTATTTGCCCCTTCCTAATAATGGCTTTGATCATTGCATATTTACCACATACAAAGCTATCAGTTCATCCAACCAATTTTAACAACAGAGACAACCCAAGGAAATACAAAATGCAGTTTCTAAATGCCAATTTAATTTATTAAGGCATAAAAAACTACCTGTCCCTATGGGAAAAAGTAATTGCTTAATAATGTGTTGTGCCTCCCTTGGTAGCAATGACTGAAATCAAGCATTTGCAAGAATTGATGAGTCTTTGACATCACTGTGGAGGAATTTTGGCCCACTCTTCTTTGCAGAATTAGTTCAACTCTGCCTTATTGGAAGGTTTTCTAGCATGAACTGCCCGTTTAAGGTCACACCACAGTATCACAATTGGATTCAAATCCAGACTTTGACTTGGCCACTCCAAAACTCCTGGTGTGTTTTATCTACTGCATAACCCAAGAGCGCTTCAGTTTGAGGGCACAAACTGATGGTTGGACATTCTCCTTCAGGATTTTCTGTTAGACAGCAGAATTCATTGTCCAATTAATCACAGCAAGTTATCTTGGTCCTGAAGTTGCAAAACAGCCCTCGGCCATCAAAATGCCACCACCATGCTTCACTGTTGGCATAATGTTGTTATTTTTGTTTGTTTTCTTTTAATCAAATGCTGTCCAATTTTTACACTGCATATAACCGGCTGCACATCTTCTAAAAAAAAAAAAGTTCACTTTTTGACTCATTGACTCATCAATCCACAGAATGTTTCCAAAAGTCTTGAGTATCATCAAGATGTCTTTTGGAAAATGTGAGACGAGCCTTTGTGTTCTTTTCGGACAGTGGTGGTTTTCGCCTGGATGCCATGTTTGGCCAGTGTCTTTCTTATGGTAGACTCGTCGAACACTGACCTTAACTGTGGCCAGGGAGCCCTGCAGTTCTTTAAATGTTGTTTGAGGTTCTTTTGTGACCCCCTGCATAAGTCATCATCACACTCTTGAAATAATTTTAGCTGGGTGACCACGCCTGGGAATGTTTGCTACTGTTCCCATTTTTCTGCATTTGTGGAGAATGGCTCTGACAGTGGTTCGCTGGAGCCCCAGAGTCTTGTATATTGCTTTGGAACCTTTTTAAAGTGATGGATTTCAAAATCTATTTTTTCCTATTTCTTCTTGAATTTCTTTGGATCGTGGCATGACGTTTGTTTCTTGACAACTTGTAGCCTACTTCATTTTGTCTGACACATTCTATTCATGTGATTTATTGATTGACCAAATGTGGCAGTAATCAGGTTTGGGTGTGGCATGTGAAATTGAACTTAGCTTTCCTAAACTGTTGTTAGTCACAGTTCCTAAACTGTTGTTTGACAACTTAGTTTTTCACAAAGAGCCAGATAGGTTTGCTTTTTTTTCCCCTTGGGAAATGAAATCATCCTCTAGAAACTGCATTTTATATTTCCTTGGGTTGTCTGTGTGTGATATTAACATCTGTTTGATTAAATTAAACCTTTTTGTGTTGTAAATATGCAAAGAACACAGAAATCAAGGTGACAGTGAGACCTGGAATGGCCTATTTGGAAGGACCCCCCCCGATCTGAACCCAAGTGTTATTCTGTTACTGGACTTCTGTGGTCATCACGGATTGTCCATAACGAACACCAGGTTCAAAGGGTGTCCATATGTGCACTTGGGACCAGGCCCGCAGTTTGATGATTTACCTTTTATAGTCATGTCATTGGATTAATGGACGCATGTTTTGGACTGACGAACTGATCACCGCCTGGTGTGTTGGCTCCGTGGTGAAGGAAGAAGGCGGTCCGACCCGGCAGACGCATATGTATTGTGAGAGTTTGTCAGTGCCTGCTGTGATGGCCGTTCCCTGAATCCGGTGGCAAGGGATGCCGTCAAGCTGAAGAAAGAGTCCTATTGGGCCTTTGGCTCATGTGGGACTGCAGAGGCAACTGTCAGATACCGGCTGGCCACGTGGAATGCAGCTTTGGCAGTCACTAAGGCGAAAACTCAAACGTAGCAGAAGTTCAGCGAGTCCATGTAAAACAACTTCCAGATGGCTTTGAGGTAATTTGGTCCACCATCCGGCGTCTCGGAAGGGGGAAGCAGTGCACCATGAACACTGAATAGTGGAGATGGGGTGCTGCTGACCTCGATTGAGGTAGTAAAAAAGCTCCTCAGTGGCAAAGCCCTGGGGATGGATGAGATCCATCTGGCGTTCCGATAGGCTCTGGATGTTGTGGGGCTGTCCTGGTTGACACGCCTCTACAACATCACGTGGACATCGGAGAGAGTGCCTCTGGATTGGCAGACCAGGGAGGCAGTCCGTAAACTGTGTTCCAACGACAGAGGAATCACACTCTACAACCTCCCTGGTAAGGGCCTATATTCAGGGGTGCTGGAGTGGAGGGTATGCCGGGAGGTCAAATCTCGGCTTCAGGGGGCGCAATGTCGTTTTCATCGGAGCATTGGAACAGTGGACGAGCTCAACACACTCAGCGATGTCTGCGAGTGTGAGTCTTTGTGGACTTGGAGAAGGTATTTGACCATGTCCCTCAGGGTGTTCTGGAGGGAGGTGCTTCGGGAGTATGGGATACCGAGCCCCTGAATATGAGCTGTTCGGTCCCTGTATCACTGATGTCAGAGTTTGGGCCGCATTGCCAGCAGTGAGACGGATTCGTTTCCAGTGAGGTTTGGACTCTGCGACAGATGCCCTTTGTCACAGATTATGTTCAAAATGTATGGACAGATTTTCTAGGTGCAACCCAGGCGTTGAGGGGGTCCAGTTTGGTGGACTCAGTAATGCATCTGTGCTTTTTGCAGATGTGGTGATACTGTTGGCTTCTTCAAGCTGTGATTTCCAATTCTAACTGGAGCAGTTCGCAGCCGAGTATGAAGCAGTTGGGATGTAAATCAGCACCTTCACATCTGAAACAATGGTCCTCGGTTGAAAAAGGGTGGAGTGCCCTCACCGGTACGGGGTCGGGGTTGAGATCTTGCCCGAAGTGGAGGAGTTAAAGTACTTGACGCGGATCAGTGCATCATCTGCTGTGAAGCGGAATCTGTATCGGTCTGTCATGGTGAAGGAAGAGCTGAGCCAAAAGGGGAAGCTCTCAATTGACCCGTCCATCTACGTTCCTACCTTCACCTCTGGTCACAAGCTGTGGGTCATGACCAAAAGAACGAGATCCCAGATACAAGCAGCCGAAATGAGTTTCCTCCGCAGGGTGTCCGGGCGCCCCCTAAGAGATAAGATGTGAAGCTCAGGCATCCAAGAGGGACTCAGAGTCGAGTCGCTGCTCCTCCACGTTTACAGGAGCCCGATGAGGTGGCTCGGCACACTGGACACATTGCCTGTGAGGTGTTCGACTATGTCGTAATGGCAGGAGGCCCCAGGGACGACACTGGACACATTGAAGAGACTATGTCTCCTAGCTGGCCTCGGAACGCCTTGGCATCCCTCCGGAAGAGTTGGAAGAAGCGGCTCGGGAGAGGGAAATCTAGGATTCCCAGCTGAAGCTGCTGCATCTGTGACCCAATCCTGGCTAAGTGGTAGATGGAAGGATGGATGAAAGAAAAACTTTTCCATAGATTGAAGTGAAAGCTTCGAATCAACCGGAACTCGTTCATGCCTGCATGCAAGTCCGAGCTCTAAGTTGCAAATGTGTTTTATTAGCCAAACAATGAAAAAAAGTGTCATTTTGTACTCCGAAAAACATTGTCAGCATTTCTCATTATCATCGAGTTATGAGTACATACTGAATACGGTTAAGTTATAATGTATCAAATGATGAAAATTAGATGCATACTAAAATATTAAAACCAGTCACTTGGAACTCACCCAAGGATGCTGAGGCAGACTTTGCCATTGCGGTAAAAATTGGGATTGAACCGGACACTGTTCTGACCAGTGGTGATGAGCTTGACCCGTGGCGGGTGGATCGGGTAGTCCGGAGGGCATCGAAACAGGAATAGGAAGAAACCGCCCTCATATGGTGTATCAAATGGCCCTATGATTAGTGCATGGATCTTAGAAAGAAAAGAGAATACACTTAATACACTGCATTTCAAGTAAGTATACTGCACATATCATCACAAGTTAAAAATAAACATTTTAATTTTTTGTTTTTCTGAGACGGCTTTTGCATTTGCATGTTATTTCTCGTCTATTTAGATCATTGCAAACTGGTTCCTTCAGATAAAGCCAGGCTCCTGTCAGGCAAATGCAAAAAAAACCCAAAGCAAAACAAACAACAAAATTACACACACAAAAGAACACTGATGAGGGAACAAGCAGGTATTTCAAGCTGCTGGTATATTTGGAATCCAAAGCTCCGCAGTCATACTATAGGTTGATTTGCCCTCTAACCAATGTTGACAAGGTCAAAAATTTGTGCGGCATTCTTAAAGAGAAGTTCTATTGGGCAAGAAAGCTGGATATCTCCAAACAGCACCTCTGGGAGCTAATAATTGCATTCAACCTAACAGGTTTGCATGGAGCCTAGTATTCCAATTAGAATAAAACTGTATGATCAAACGAAATGAAAACACTCCAAAATAACACCACAAGCCGAATAAACAGACAGAATACCAATTTAATTTCGTTCTCATTCCCAGGCGTGGTATATTCCTTTCGCCAATCCAAACAGATGTCATCAATACGTTCAATCGGAGTAGCAGGGCTGCGTGCGGTCTGCGATTTCTGTCTTCACGTAAATCATGGGTTATGCATTTGAAAATGGCGCCTTCCTACCAGAGGGTGTCTGAAGCAGGAGCGCTTGTTTTAAATGACTTGTAAACTTATTTTTATTAAAGCTGTTGCTTCAAAGAAAGTGTAAACAATCCAAACTTACTGTGTTAAACTGACAACTGAACTCCTCCTTGATAAAGCACATGATGTTTACTCGCTAGTAATTTGTAAAATAGATGACTTAACGCCACCTTGATAAAACACGCAATGTTTACATCGATCTGCATGTCACAGTCCAGCTCAAAGCCTGTGGCAAAAAATGAGGGGACACAGACAACCAAGGCCAACGAATACTTTACTGCAAATAATAAGTTCACCTTTAACAATAAAAGGTTTATGGGATGTGAGTGTGTAAATATCTGAAGAGTGTGCAAAGTGTATGTATGAATGTAGGTACATGGGCGGTAACGTGTGAATGAAACAACCAAATAAAACAACAAACAAAAGGAGTGTTACCTAAGGGCAGAGAGCAAGCACGATTATGGAGCACACCTATATACAGTAATAGGTGAGCCAGGTGGCTCCAACCGAGAGGACCCGCCCCTGCCTGCCTGAGGAACCGCACCAGCTGGATAGGGGCGGTGCTGTGACACCCCCCTCCAAATTTGGCCAAGGCTAAAAACAAACTCCTCCTCTTGTCTGAAAGCTGAAACCTGGCATCTTGCAAACCAACCAACCATCCATCCATCCTCCACCTCAGCAATCATATACCTAATAGGCTATTTAAGAGGAGGAAGAACATCTCTCAATCAATCAATCAAATTCACTTTATTTATCCGTTAGGAAATTCATGAACAGAGAGGCCCACAAAACACAAGTCATGACCAATCGCACATAATTCATGATAACAGAAAAGATCCATCCATTCTTTTTCTGATCCACTTTATCCTCACAAGGGTTGCGGGGGGTCCTGGAGCCTATTTCAGCCGACTTCGGGCAGTAATCGGGGGACACGCCTAACTGATTGCCAGCCAATCGCAGAGCACACGAAGACCAACAACCATCCACGCTCACGCCTAGGGACAATTTAGAGTGTTCCATTAACCTGCCATGCATGTTTTGGGAATGTGGGAGAAAACCGGAGTACCCAGAGAAAAGCCACACAGGCCCGGCGAGAACACTCCACACAGGGAGGCCGGAGCTGGAATTGAACCCTGCAGCTCTGCACTGTGAGGTCGATGTGCTAACCACCGTAGCACCGGGCCACCTAACAGAAAACAAACAAAAAAATAAAATCACAAATAAAGACAAATCTTGTTGGTCTGTGTGTGCCCTGCGATTGGCTGGCAACCAGTTTGGGGTGAAGTCGGCTGAGATAGGCTCCAGGACCCCCCGCGACCCTAGTGAGGATAAAGTGGTTCGGAAATGAATGAATGAATAAACAAATCAATGGAATTAAAAGGCGGCCCGGTGGTCCAGTGGTTAGCGTGTGTGTCTGAGCATGGATCGTTGTTCGTCTCTGTGTACCCTGCGATTGGATGGCAACCGGTTCAGGGTGTCCCCTGCCTACTGCCTGAAGACAGCTGGGAAAGGCTCCAGCACCCGCGACCCTTGTGAGGATCAACCGGATCAGAAAATGGATGGATAGATGGATGGAATTAAAAGCAACAAATAAGCTAAAACGGTTGGGCTATGGCGTATTTAAGATCAGGATATGTAGCATTGGCAACCATCAGTCATTTGGAAGGTGGATTGAGATGGGGAGAAAGGTAGAGATGACCCTCTTAGTCCTCAGAGTATGTGTGTGTGTGTGAGAGAGAGAGAGAGAGAGAGAGAGAGAGAGAGAGAGAGAGAGAGAGAGAGAGAGAGAGAGAGAGAGAGAGAGACGCACGGGCGGGGAGGGGGTGTAGTCTTAAATACAAAAGTATTCATTCCTATACTCTACTATACTTACCATACAGTGATCTAGAAGACAAAACAATAGAAGTTGCTGGATTTGCATTCATCATTAACTACAAAGAGAGAGAGAGAGAGAGAGAGAGAGAGAGACCTAGACTTATGCGCTGATGGTAACAGGATGTACTGAGAGTGCTTTGTGTGGGAGCTGTCGGTTGCTATCCAGGTGCCTTTTTAATGACAATTATTTTAATTACTTTAATGTTATTGTAGATGCTGCTTGCCTCTCTCTTGTCTTCCATCACATCAAAGATCTTGGAGCACTGAAAAGCCTTTCCGTCCTGTCTCCCTCTGTTGGTCATTGTTTTTCATGTTTCATAAGACATATGGTGCCTGTTAAGTCAATTTTGTTGCTTGGGCATGTGCAATGACAAAGACCCATTCCAGTCCTTATCTGAGCAAAAATAAACAAAACACCGTTAAAATCTCCCAAATGTATGGAGGTAAATTCGTATGGTGCTCATCACCAAAATAACAGTGGCAGATCATTGTTGAGGGCCGTTTTTCTTCAGCTTGAACTTGAGCCTTACTCAAGGTGTAGGGAATTACAGTCGTGTTAATTTTAATCAGCCATTTCTAAATTTAGTCTCAGTTGTCATCGCACTTGTTAGTTTTTAATCACATCGAGTCAACCTCGTCCCATTTCTGTTTGGTCAAGTTTTGGTCGACTAAAAGTTAAGCATTTTAGTCTGTATTTTAGTCCAAGATGACAATTGGATTCATCTAGTTTGAGTCAACAAAAACTGGGAACATTTTAGTTGAGTTTTAGTCCGGACAATCATTTTAGTCTTTGGGTTTTTTTGTCATCAAATATTGAACATTTCCATCTGATTTAAAATTAATTCACAAAACGTGTTCTCTCATCAAAACACAATTCAGTGAATACAACAAGACATCGGACATGTTCTGATAAAATGTGCACATTGTAGATTTATTTTTCTCCATTTCAAATTCATACTAAAAACAAAACTATCCTATTTTATGGAGAAATATTGCAGCCATCTTTATGCGTGCATGCATTCATTTCGTAAATTAATATTGATGGCAATTCAAATCAAATTTCCTTGTGATGGTTCTGTGAAGAAAAGCATTGTATGTCACCAAATACATTAGGATGCAAACTCCTCGAACAGTCGTTCCCAACCTTTTAATATCACAAAACTCAGGCAACTCCAAACATTCAAAACAGACAATTTGAGTTGCTTTATACATTTACACCACATTGATGAAAACGTAGGCTAATGTTGTTCTGAATTATGTATGGCATATTATTTTATTTTATCGAGATGACTTGTTTTAGTTTTAGTTTTTAATTTGCATCCGTGTGTGGCTGCCCAGGTGATTTGTGTTAACTATGATTCACCTGCATCTCCTTTTAGCTTATACTTCTGCCTGCTTTAACTAAACTTGCAATCCAATTGAAGCCATAGTTGCTTAATAGTTGCTATATCTTATCTTTTAGCACAAATTCAACTTCACACACAATTATATCAACAAGTGGCTACTATCGCAACATGCTACGAAATATTAACTTAGCCAGCATTAGTTTGCGATCGGTTTAACGCTCCTTTTGGAACATGACAGGCGCTGGTTTAATGTTCCGTGAGAAATAACCACCACTAAACTTTTTTGTGAACTTACCACATTGTCTTTGTGGTGAACTGTGGCGTGTCTCTTCAATAACAGTTCTTGCAGCAATGTAGTTCCCCTGAAAAAATGTGGATCCCCTGCCTCCGCAACTTGAGTTAACACGCAGCTGTTCTGATGTTGGTGCGTCAAATAAGTGATAAAATATTTCCTGCAATGTGCTCGCGGACTGGTTATTGCTGTTTGGTTGCATTGAATGAGTATTCTATGGATTTTTTGAGATGATCTTCTGTGTGTGGAATGCACCTCGAGTCAACTGCCAAACAGGTGTACAGCATTTGCTTTCTTTTCCACACAGCTACCGATCGTTGACTGCAAGTAAAATGAAAACATGCAAGTAATGTGTCACAGCTTTCATTCAATGTGTGTGTGTGCGCTCTCACCGGAGGGGATACTTTTTTTTTTTTAGGTGTAACTACATTGGTGCATGGGCTGATTAGCTGAGGAGGAGGAGGTGGAAGAGACAGGATTTGACAAAAATTATAGAATTTTCACCTTGTCTTTTTTCGTGAACTAAAATGTCCAGATTTTAGACCAACCTTTATTTAGTGAACTACATTCATCAGACATCTCTTCATTAGTTCATGAAAATGCATCGTGACTTAGTCCCAGTTATTGTTTATGAAATGGGGTTTTTCGTCTCATCTAGTCTAGTTTTCATCTCGTGAAAAATGTGCGTTGACTGCAGTGACAAAAATATTTTTGTTTAGTTTTCATTTACAAAATTAAAACTCACTAACAATTCCAAATATCAGTTAGCGTTAGCACAAAATATGACTGCTAAAAAAATGCTCTTTCATCATAACTGCTTCAAAAACCTGAGTATGCAGAAAAGTGGTTAAGATTGAATGACTGTGTGTCTTATGTGTTGTATTATTTTGTTTTTATGACTTCTAGTGGTGCTGCTAGAGTGGCTGCCTTTACAGCAGCTCCTATACTTTTTGTTCTTCTACGTTCTTCCTTTCATAACGTTGCTGCTGTAAATTGGGAATTTGTCCATTATGAGACGAATCAAGGGTTTCTTTTTATTATTATTATTATTATTATTATACATTTAAAAATGTCAGGAGAAGCCTTTTAGAACTGTTAAACTTTACTTGGGGTTAATCAGGGTGATTCCAAATGGTGGCAGGTGCGTGGGTGGACTCCCATTTAATTGAGTTTGGGTGATAATTGAGATCAATATGTATTGCGAATAATCGGTAATCAATATCAGAACATGCCTTTGATAAAATGTTCAATAGAAAAATATTTATACAAATCAGAACGCTAACCAGCATTTTGCGTGTTGTAGGCAGCGCGGTCGCCTAAAAACACGAAACAGCAGTTAAACCAACAAAGAAGCTGCTAAACCAATGAAGAAGAAACAACCAAACCAACATACTCACAAGGAAGGAGACAATTCCGTAACTTTGTTCAAATAAATCACCAGTTGACTCAGTACAACTTTTGCAAAGGAACCCTTGCAAGTTCCCTGTCTTTGACGTGCTAGCACCAGTGTTAGCCATGTCAGACCTTCGTCATTGCACTGACGTCAAAATCAGGCAAGTAAAATATGAATGGACTATGGAAATAATTGGTCCACAAAAAAAAGATAAAGTTGTCCTAAAAGGGTTGGTCAATGGTAATGCATGAACTGCAAGACAGGATTAGTTCACAACACTTAGATTTTATGTGCATTGAATGAAGTTTGATGTAATTATCAACGATGCTGCTTTGGGGGAGCAACAAACTTTTAGAAAAGCATTTACAGTGAACTGGTGAAGGAGCAACTTGTACATTATAAAATGATGTCGAGCTACTGGTTTAAACTTTTTTTTTTAATTGGAAGGAAAATGGGAGGTTTTGAGATTGCTTTTCATGACTCAAAATAATTCAATTTGTATTTGGGTCAGCATTGCCTGAACAGAAAAGGCAATTATCTTGGCTCAAAATCACCTTACTGATAAGACACCCCTCAAGGCACCTCATACTGGGCTAATTGGGGATTTTTTTTTTTTTTGTCTCACATGCAGGAAGTCATAGATGTACTTTATAAACTATTCGGGGAACCATAAAGCAAATGTGGCTTGCTGAATATCTGGTCATTTACCTTGGTCATGTCTTGAGGATCTGGGACGACAAACATCCCTGGTGGAGGTTCCTTGTAGATAGACATAATATCCCTAAAAATAATAAAAAGGAGGTCACTCTTTCAACGTGCCAATATTTGTTCTGAGATCTCAAACGTCCTGTGTGATTTCAAAGGTATTCAATGATATTTAAATTTGTCAGGAAACATCAAGTCTGATTACCATTGCTGTAACAAGACAGGTTTTCAAAAGACTTTGGAAGGTCATATTCTCAGTTCTCCTGTAGTTTAAACTTCCCAAGAAGGCGGCATTTCTTATAAGTTTTCAATTTCGGTTAGTTACCTCTTGATCCTTAAAATAGCTGGCTGCGAGGTTTTTTCGTTGTCCCAGTCAGTACTCCGGGTCGGGTCCCAGGAAGCGGCGTAGACCTGTGTTAGGGGGCCTGGTCCGGCCACTCCGGCGACGGCTTGCCCAACACTCTGAGCGGGTGAAGAGGTGTGCATGTTCGGTGATACGGACACGACCGGTTGAGATAAGACAAACGCGTTCCAAAAGTCCGTCTGGGTAGCCGGGAGACCATCATTTGGAGATCCATCGGGGCTGAGGCCACTCTGGTCACCCTCAGAAGACGAACCCGTATTGGCGCTGAGAGGTGCACCCGTCAAAGAGTTTGCCAAAGTCTGCAGGGGTGAAGATCCGACGCTTTGTCCGGTAACACCAGGGCCATGTGTATCACCGGTTGACGTATCTCCAATGCTGTCCGCCATGCCTCGCAAGCTATCAAGCTGGAGCTAAAATGCTGGTGTTCAATAATGTATACAAATTGTTCGAAGCATTGACAGGTGAGCGACAAATTGAAAGTCTCTTTGCCTGTATGGTGTTTTAATGGTATCAGAGAAACGACGACCCGGGTCTAGATGAGACCAGAAAACGAGAGATTTCTTCTCCTGGCATAGTAGCTATTTATCGTTAGCTTAACTGTGTTTTCAGCAGGCCTAAAAGTAGAAAACCGCTAGCAAACTCACACTTTCCGGGTGTGACAGTCTATGAGAGAGTGTACCGGCAGGTTACGTCGATTTATAAGAATGCGGGTTCTAAATAAAAATTAATTCTCACCGCCGGTACCCTGGTCAGAACCACAAAAAGGCTCAACTTTTACACCAGATTTCGATTCAAGCTAAGAGTCACTTCGTATGGTATTTGGGAACTTCCGGTATGACTTCAAAGTTAAGTACGCTTAAAAATAGACGTATGTGTCGTAGAATACCATGTGTTTCCTTACTTCAAACACTTGTGCACTCGTCATAAGGCTGCATGATAAAAGTAATACTCTCAATTGTAACATTAACAAAAGAATCTACATCTAGTGCAAGAGCTCTGTCAGTCCTTTTAATAACACAATCTGTCGCTTACGATGATGTAACGGTATTGTTTTACCCTAAAGGTGTTTCAGATGTTTTGGTTACCTTGTAGCAGAGATGTTAGCAAGTCACACGATGAATTCTTCAATCTTAAGAAAGTGAAGTCCTAAATGATAAATCTCAAAGCCAAGTGATAAATCATATTAGTGTCTTACATGCAGGTTGTGGTTTTAAAGCAGATCAACATGATGAAATATCATTGGCCAATTAATGTAACCTGAACATAGTGTACTTCACTTTAAAACAATGCATTCCAATTAAAGTGCACTTCCAATTATTTTGTGAAAATAATTTACACTTAATTTCATCTTTTTATTTTTATCCCCAACAAAAACTGTCAAAGACACAAAACATGTATGCTTGTAGAATACTGTATCTCAATCCAAGGTCATGTCACAGACACAGGGGCAAAATTGTATGTAAATAAGTTGAATTCTCTCTCAGAGACCACTTTTGACTTTTTGGGGGGGCACCAGGAGTTCCCAGGCCTCTCCGCAGGACATGCCCAGAACACCTCACCAGGAAGGCATCCAAGAAGCATTCTAAGCAGATGTCCGGGTCACCTCATCTGGCTCCTTGCAATGTGGAAGAGCAGCAGCTGCACTTTTTTCATGCGGATCAATGCTTGAATGTCAGCAAACTCTGAAATTCACATCAAGCTTACATGAAAGCCGTATCTCACTGAGCGGCGCAGGTTTGCAAGTGTATGCGCATAGCGAATGTTGCATTTCTCTTTAGGATTCATTCAAGATCACATAATGCAAAGATCAATCATTTTCATGGTCTCAAACTGTTTATCTTGCCATAAATAAAACTTGAACGTGTTCAAAATTTGATGGCGACATACACTCACCGGCCACTTTATTAGGTATACCTGTCCAACTGCTCGTTAACACTTTTTTCTAATCAGCCAATCACATGGCGGCAACTCAGTGCATTTCGGCATATAGACATGGTCAAGACAATCTCCTACAGTTCAAACCGAACATCAGTTTGGGGAAGAAAGGTGATTTGAGTGGGTTTGAACATGGCATGGTTGTTGGTGCCAGAAGGGCTGGTCTGAGTATTTCAGAAACTGCTGATCTACTGGGATTTTCATGCACAACGATCTCTAGGGTTTACAGAGAATAGTCCGAAAAAGAAAAAATATACAGTGAGCGGCAGTTCTGTGGGCGGAAATGCCTTGTTGATGCCAGAGGTCAGAGGAGAATGGCCAGACTGGTTCGAGCTGATAGAAAGGCAACAGTGACTCAAATAACCACCCGTTAAAACCAAGGTAGGCAGAAGAGCATCTCTGAACGCACAGTACGTCGAACTTTCAGGCAGATGGGCTCCAGCAGCAGAAGACCACGCCGGGTGCCACTCTTTTCAGCTAAGAACAAGAAACTGAGGCTACAATTTGCACAAGCTCATCGAAATTGGACAATAGAAGATTGGAAAAACGTTGCCTGGTCTAATGAGTCTCGATTTCTGCTGCGACATTCGGATGGTAGGGTCAGAATTTGGCGTCAACAACATGAAAGCATGGATCCATCCTGCCTTCTATCAACGTTTCAGGCTGGTGGTGGTGGTGTAATGGTGTGGGGAATATTTTCTTGGCACTCTTTGGGCCCCTTGGTACCAATTGAGCATCGTTGCAACGCCACAGCCTACCTGAGTATTGTTGCTGACCATGTCCATCCCTTTATGACCACAATGTACCCAACTTCTGATGGCTACTTTCAGCAGGATAATGCGCCATGTCATAAAGCTGGAATCATCTCAGACTGGTTTCTTGAACATGACAATGAGTTCACTGTACTCAAATGGCCTCCACAGTCACCAGATCTCAATCCAATAGAGCATCTTTGGGATGTGGTGGAACGGGAGATTCGCATCATGGATGTGCAGCCGACAAATCTG